ATTATATATATACACTATATATATATATATACATACACACTTAAAACTGATAATAATGAAATTAAATATTGATATTCTTCATGAATCTCAGCTGATCATGGATTTAAAAAGAAAAAAGAAAAAAAAGACAAAGTAAAGATACTGTAATTAACTGTTGTTGTTGCTGTTAATTGACATTGAGTCAGTTCCGACTCAGCAACCACGTATAGGGTCTGGTGTGTTTGAACTGCAGACTTTACAGTTAGCAGTCCTATGCTTGCTTATACTACAGCACCATACTAGGACTTCTGTAATTAATTAGGGCCTAGATCAAGAGAGCTCTACCGTGCTCAAGTAGAAAAAATAAAGGTAAAATTGTTAAGTGCCTTAGAGTCAGTTTCAACTCATAGCAATCTGCATAGGGTTTTCAATGCTTTAAATTTTTTGTGGAAGCAGAAAGCCTCATCTTTTTTCTGCAGAATGGCTGATGGGATAGAACCACCAACCTTGAGGTTTGCAGTCCAGTGTTACCCAAACCTATAGTGATTTTCATACAAAGCAAATTTTAAAAATCATATAGGTTTTTCTATTTAGGAGACTAAAACAAAGTATATTTATGATATCAATACGTAACAAGAGTCTAACAGTGGAAAGAACTTTTAAACTATAACATTACTAAGTGCCGTCAAGGGGGTTCTAACTCGTAGCGACTCTGTACATGGTTTCCAAAGCTTTATATCTCTGAGAGAGCAAAAAGCCTCATCTTTCTTCCAAGGAGTAGTTGGCGTGCTCGAACTGTGGACCTTCTGGTTCGCAGTTTAGTGGATATTGCATAGAGTCAACACGCTTCCAATTATAACATTAGGGATATACATTATCGTGGGGCTCACATGTTCTGTACTAGAAAGGTGGGTTTCTTTGTTTTGTGTTTTTCCTCCCCCTCTTCCTCCTTAAAGCTAAAGAAATTATTCTCAACAAATATAGTTTAAGTGAACTCAAGGAGCAACTGACTTACTTCAAACTAGAAAATGCAACTAAACTGCCACTCAGTATTTTGAGACAAGCCAGTTTGTTCTTTATTTTATGTTGAGAAATAGAAAAAAAATCTACGCTAATTACACTTTCATTAAAATACCAATTTTACTATTAATGAGAAGTCAAAAATCTATCACCATTGCTCTGTTTAAAAGAGCAGAAAAATACTTTTTAGAATACACGTGAAACTCAAAATTTCACTACAAACAAAACAATATACAGCAGACGAATTATTTCATTTGGTTTCCTATCACTGAGCTCATAAACTGTTTTCTAAGGGAAAAACACAAATACTTTATATATTAAAATAAACTTAATTCTTTGTGAAATAAAAGGTCAATCAAAAATATTCTGTATATCGGTCGGTCTCTGGATTTTCACCGAGTTTTGCTCTCAAGTGAATATAGATATGAGGAGTTTAGTTTTATGTAAGAGTTCAGTCTAGTTCAACAATCAAAATATAAATAATTATAGTTACCTTTAGTTCTTCTATGGACTGGTAGTCATTGTTCTTAATCTTTTCTTTCATGGTACTAAAATCCATTGGGTGTTTAATAATCATGGAGTAGCCAGGAGCAATAAAATCAGTGACAGGAAATGAAAAGAAAGCACTTGGGTCTTTTCTGTGAAGACATGAAAAAGTAATTTTACATTTTATTTTTTCCACAAGCAAATCTACTACTTATGTCTAGAAGTCAGAGAAAGCTCTTTAGATATAGAGTCTTTAGCAAGCTACCGTGTTTTTCACTAAAATTAGAGGGAAGATTTTAAAGACTATTTAATAACAAAGTTAGAATATTTTACACACTAGCTGATCCTTAACACAGAGAACTTTTCTTTTTAAATATGCAGTCTGTTCAATTAGTAGTACCTCCTACTAATTACTTAGGCACTGTAGGATAAGCATTGGACCCCTAACCTCATGGTGCTTCAAACCCACCACCCGCTCCTCAGAAATCCTATCTAGAGTCATTATGAGTCGTAACCAAATCGAAGGTAGTTACCATTACCACCTCCTATAAATTGGAAAAATGAAGCAAAGATACCTAAGACTACCAGCCAAATACAGAATCCTGGTGTGGCACTGTGGGTTAAAGCACTGAACTGCAAAGTCGGTCTGAACCACAAGGTTGGCAGTTCAAGCTCAATGGCCATTCCTCAGAAACCCTATACAAGGTTGCTAATGGGTTGGAACTGATTTGGTGGCACTTAGTAACAAAAACAACCAACCAAATGAATTTCTGGTGTGGCACTGTGGATCAGTACTGGACTTAGAACTACAAGGTCAGCAGTTTATCCCACCATCTGCTCATCAGAAACCCTATACAGGGTTGCTATGAGTTGGAACCAACTCGACGGCACATAGCAACAACTACCATCAATTCAAATTTACACACCACTAAAGCTAGTGAGGATGAAATAGATGAATTCTGCCAACTTCTTCAATCTGAAATTGATCAAACATGCAATCAAGATGTATTGATCATTACTGGTGAATAGGAATAAAAAGGTTGAGAACAAAGAGGAAGGATCAGTAGTTGGAAAATATGGTCTTGGTGATAGAAATGATGCTGGAAATGGCATGATAGAATTCTGAAAAAGCAATGATTTGTTCATTTCAAAAACGTTTTCCTTAGATAGCATAACAGATGGAACCCGCAGAAATCAAACTGACTACATCTGACGATGGAAAAGCTCCATATCATCAGTGAAAACTAGGCCAGGGGCAGATTGTGGAACTGACCATCCATTGTTCATATGCAAATTCAAACTGAAGCTGAAGAAAATGAAAACAAGTCCACAAGAACCAAAATATGACCTTATATATATACCACCTGAATTTAGAGATCATATGAAGAACAGATTTGATACATTAAACACTAAAGACAGAAGACCAGAAGAGTTGTGGGATGACATCAAGAACATCATACAGGAAGAAAGCAAAATGTCATTCAGAGGACAAGAAAGAAGAAAAAGGTCAAAATGGATGTCAGAAGACACTGAAACGTGCTCTCCAGCATAGAGATGCTAAAGCAAAGGAAGCAATGAGGAGGTACAAGAGCTGAACAGAAAATTTCAAAGGTCAGCTCAAGAAGACAAAGTCAAATATTACAAAAAATGCATAAAGACCTGGAGTCAGAAAACCAAAAACACGCTCAGCATTTCTCAAGCTGGGGGAACTGAAGAAAAAAATTCAAGCCTCCACTTTCGTTAATGAAGGTTTCTCTGGGCAAATTATTGAATGATGCAGAAAGCATCAAAAGAAGACGGAAGGAATTACAGAGTCACTGTACCAAAAGGAACTGGTCAATGTTCAAACTGATTCAATAGGTAGCATATGATCAAGACCAATGGACTAAAGGAAGAAGTTCAAGGTGCATTGAAAGAATTGGCAAGGAACAAGGCACTGGGAATTAATGGAATCAAAATTGAAATCTTTCAAGAAAGTGAGGTGGCACAGGAGGCACTCACTCATCTCTGTCAAGAAATTTGGAAGACAACTATCTGGCCGACTGATTGGAAGAGATCTGTACTTGTGCCCATTACAAAGAGAGGTAACCCAACAGAATGCGGAAATCATTGCACAATATCTTTGATATCCTATGCGAATAGTTTTACTAAAGGTAATACAGAAACGGCTACAAACATACATTGACAGAGAACTTCCAGAGGTTCAAGCTGGATTCAGAAGAGGATATGGAACAAGGGATATCACTGGTGACTTCAGATGTATCTTGTCTGAAAGCAGAGACTATCAGAAAGATGTTTACCTGTGCTTTATTGACTATGCAAAAGCTTTCGATTGTGTGGATCATGACAAACTATGGACAACATTGTGAAGTACGAATATTCCGGAATCGTTTAAAATTAAGAAAGATGTGTGACAGGGTTGTATTCTTTCACCATACTTATTCAACCTGTATGCTGAGCAAATAATCTGAGAAGTTGGCTTATATGAAGAAAAATATGGTATCAGGATTGGAGGAAGACTCAAACTTGTTTGTGGAAAGTGAAGAGGACTTAAGATATGTACTGACAAAGATCAAAGACCACAGCCTTTGGTATGAATTGCATCTCAATGTAAAGGAAACAAAAATCCTCCCTACTAGACCAATAAACAACATTCTTATCAAAGGAGCAAAGTTTGAAGTTGTCAAGAACTTCACTCTTCTTGGATCAACTATCAACACTCATGGAAGCAGCAGTCAAGAAATCAAACAACGTATTGCATTAGGCAAATCTGCTGCACGAGACCTTTTTAAAGTGTTGAAGAACAGAGATATCACCTTTAGGACTAAGGTTCACCTGACCCAAGCCATAGTAATTTCAATAACCTCATATGTATGTAAAAGCTGGACAGTGAATAAGGAAGATGGTAGAAGAATTGATGCTTTTGAGTTATGGTGTTGGAGAAGGATATTGAAAGTGCCATGGGCTGCCAAAAGAACCAACAGATCTGTGTTGGAAGAAGTACAGCCAGAGTGCTCCTTGGAGGCCAGGATGGCCAAACTTCATCTCTCATACTTCAGACATGTTGTCAGGCGGGACCAGTTGCTGGAGAAGAATTCCAGTTTGGTAAGGTGGTGGGTCAGAGAAAAAGAGGAAGACCCACAGTGAGATGGATTGGCAAAGTGGCAGCATCAATTGGCTCAAGCATGGCAACAATTGTGAGGTTGGCCCAGGACCAGGCAATATTTCGTTCTATTGTACATAGGGTTGCTATGAGTCGGTACCAATTTGATGGTACCTAACAACAACCACCACCACCACCAATCAAATGTCTTGGTCTTTGGGAGACTAATCCTATATATTGTTACTAACAAAGAAAAGGCAAAAATGCATATCTGTAATTTCCATACTAAATTCTAAGATGCTTGGATTCCCAGTAAGCCACAGAATTCCTGCATCCATGAATTTAAGTATTTTTGCAATCAATGGATACAACTTATATTACATTAAAAAACCTGGTATTAATAAAGGTCTTCATAATACCCGTAACATTGAGAACCAGAGCTTTCTACTATAGTTTTTCAACTCTTGCTGTACAATAAAATCATCAGAGCTTAATAAAAAATTCTAATGTGTATGTGTTCGGAGAGGCACAACCTAGACCCATGATGTTAGAAAACATACGGTCCTGAATGTTTACGCCAATTTCTGGCAAGGTCAGTGGTCAAAAACCACCAGTTGCTCCTTGAAAACCCTATACAGGGTCACTGAGTCAGAACTGACTCAATGGCATTTAACATGTTTTCTTCAAAGAGATGCACATTTAAGTCACTGATCCATTTTGAACCAATTTCTATATATATGGTGTCAGGTGGGGGCCCAACTTCTTTCTTCTACATGTGAAAATCTTCTTGTCCCAGCAACATTGGTTAAAAAGGCTGTTCTTTATTCACTGAATGAACTTAGCATCCATATCAAAAATCAACTGACTAAACATAAATGGATTTAGTTTTGGAATCTCAGTTTTATTCCATTGGTCTATATGTCTATTACACCGTTCTGACTACAGAAGCTCTGTAGTATGTTTTGAAACCATGAAGTGTTGTTAGTTGTCCTACTTTCTTCTTTTTCAAGGCTGCTTTGGCTATTTGAGACCCATAATTCCCTATAAATTTAAGGATATATTTTTCTTTTTCTACAAAAAGTTTATTGGAATTTTGATAGGGATCACATTAAATATGTAGATGACAATATTGACATTTTAATATTAAGTTTTAGAGTCTATGAACATGAGCATGAGCTGTCTTCCCAGTAATTAGTTGGCTCTGTCGTATGACAAACCTAAGAAGAGAATGAAATGCTACTGACTCATGGCTGTGCCATCTTCATGATCATTGGTATGCTTGAAGCCACTATTGCAACTATTTTATCAATCCATTGCATTCAAGGGTACCCTTGTTTTCACTGACTTTACGCAACATAATACCTTTTTATGGCAACTGATCTGCTATGTCCAAAGTAAGTGAACCGAAGTCTCACAATCCTTGCTTTTCAAGGAGCATTCTGGATGCACTTCTTCTAAGATTGATTTCTTCATGCTTTTGAAAGTTCACGATACATTCAATATTTTTTACAAATATCACAATTTGAATGTATTAATTCTACTTCTGTCTGCCTTTTCTGTTGCCCAGCTTTCACATGCAAAGGAGGCATGGCTTGGGTCAGATGCACCTTAGTCAAGGTGACAACTTTGTTTTTTATAAATTTTAGAGATCTTTCTCAGGAGATTTGCTCATTGCCATGTCACTGTTTTCTTGACTATTTCCAAGGACACTGACTGTTGATCCAATTAGAATGACATTGTTTACAACTTCCATTTTTTCTCCATTTAACTTGATGTTTATTGGTCCAGTTAGGAAGCTTTTCATTTTCTTTACATTCAGGCATAAACCATACTGAAGGATGTAGTCTGTGATCTTCACCAGTAAGTGCTTGAAGCCTTTTCAGCAAGCCTGTGGCATTTTCATTATCAGCAAGCAAGGCTATGGCACCAAAATATTATTACTAACTCTTCCAGTTCTGATACTACCTTGCTGCTTTGTTGTTGTTAAGTGCCTTTAGTTGGTTCTGACCCACAGAGACCTGGTATAGAGTTTCTGAGGAGCAAATGGTG